TGACCTTCTCAACCTCCTCAATGATGCGTTCCGTTTTCGCCAGGCTGGGAAGCCCCTTTAGGACCAGTGAGGAGTTCAGGATGGAACGGTTGCGAGCTACAACCATCACCGTCGCTTGCGGCCACTTTTTCTGCAGCCACTCACTGGTCTTCTCTGCCTCGCCACTCTCGGCATAAAGAAGCGAAATCAGATGCCCCTTCGAAAGTATTTCGGAGGGGACGGACGGTGGAAGGACCAAGTCTGGAGGAGGAGCGTCGCCTGGTGAATCGTCGCTGTCGTCAGCCGGCGTCAGTACAGCCGCTCCTGACGCTCCCACCATTGGCGTACGAAAGGGTGAAAAAGTCACAGCAGGATGGTTTGACTTCTTTGTTGTTGTCGCCAAACCATCCCCTGACGCTATTGCTACTACAGCTGCCTCTGCTTCAGATGAAGAAGTCCCTATTCTCGCATCGGCAGCAGCAATTGTGACAGTATTAGTGGTATTAGGATTATGGTTATTAGTATTATTATTAGTACTACTACTGTGATCTCCTCCTGGTGGCATCGGCGCTTTTGTGCCAGTTGCAGCCGTCGCAGTGGCACCACTACCACTGGCATTTTCCGTGTTGCCAGGCTCCATGCCGCCCGACAACGCCCCACAATTACGTCGGGTAAACAGGGCGTACGGCGTTCCAATGTCGTAGGCACGAAGTGGCATCGTTGCGTTACATTGCAGCTCCGAGTTGAGTGTGGCGAACGAGACTCCCTTTGGAAGCACACAGTTCAAAAAAAAGTCATCCACATCTTGTTGCCGCTGAACCAGTCGATTTTTCCCACGACGCCCCCTGCGTGAGCGATGCCCCCCTTTGACTTGCGAAGCACCGTCCTTGTCACACTGGGCCTCCGGTAAAATGGCGGGACTCGGTACCATCGGCTGTGCTGCGGCGGCAGTCTGCGGCGAGTCCCGCCAGGAGCTGATGGCGAACATCTCCTTCTGCTTTGCCAGCGGAATGAACTCTGGATGCACCGGCATTTTTTATATTTTAACAACCTTGTTTATATATATATATTTTTCTCTTCTTTTTATTCAATTTTAAGTCTTTTTATTTTATTTTTCGATTTGTGTGTTCTATAATTTCCCTGCTTTTCTTTTTCGTTTTTTGTTTATTTTATCTTTCGGTTTTTTTTTTTTTTTTTTCGCCCCTCCGCTTACCCTTCGGTTTTCTTTTATTTTTGTCTGTTCCGCGACAGGGGTTAGGGTTCTCTTCTCCGTTTCTCCGCCCAGTTGCGTGTCGTCGGGCCTCTTTCCTCCCTGCTGCCGTGCAGCTGGGCAAACACGAGGACTCAATGCGACTGCGGTGCCTGTCGTACTTCTCGCTCCCGGTGCTGACGGCCGCCGCCACACGCACGGAGGGAAAGAGAGAGAGAGAAAGAGGGGGAAAGGGAGAAAAGAGGAAAGGAGGCTATTGCGGTGCGCCCCTCCTGACTTCTATCCCCTGTTCCCGGTTTCCTGCCAAACTTTCCGCTCCGCCCGCTGCGCTGCTGCCGGATGTGTGCGTGTCTGTAGGTGGGGGAATGAGGGAGGGAATTATACGCACGCAGAGCAAACAACACTCCAGCGACGGTTCCGGGGGTCTCAAGTGCGAGCGATCCCCCAAATGCGGCAAGGTACAAAATGGCAGCCGACAAAGGGATTCCGCGCAGTGCTGGGAAGTGAAGCAGCAACCACCTCCCCTCCCCCCGGGCGTATTCGATCCGCAAGTGAGAGCCAAAAAAGAGCTTGAGCCTTTTATTTGCCGCGCACGTACCTTACATGTATGTGTTGTTGGGCAGCAGCAATGCAAGGAGAAGAGGCGGTAGTTTACAGCAAAAAAAAAAAAAAGAACTCGCAATTGAGTAGGAGCAGGAGGAGGTGGTCACCTCAAATTACAGACGCAGAGAGCCACACACACACACACACACACACACACACACACACACACACACACACACACACACACACACACACACACACACACACGTGTGTGTGTGGGTAGGGGACAAACGGAGGCACACGCACGTATCCCTCTGGGCAAGACACTTGCACCTTCTCATATCCATTCTTTTTTTTTCTTTTTTTCCATCTTCTTTTAATTGGCGCTTCTCACACGTCGTCTAATTATCATTATTAATGTTAGTTTTCTTTTTTTTTTTCTTTTCATTGTTTTCGTTGAAACATTCTCGCACACACGCAACTTAAATGACGGCGGTGCACCAAACTCAACCACCCACCGCTGCTCCCCTCGCAGGATGCGTGCCAAACAAACACCGCCCTCCTCGCCCACTTTCACTCTACCACCACCACCACCAACAACAACAACAACAACAACAACAACGCCCTGCTAACGAGACTCACAGTAACAACCCTGCAGGAAGAACAGGAGACAACAAATATCGCATCGTAGACACCCCACACACCAGACACACACTCCTTCTGTTTCTTGTACTCCAAATGTATAAATGTGAGTGCGTGCATGCATTTAGTTCAGAGAGTGGATCTCTAAGTTTTGCTCTGTTGCCATGTTCTCATCAAGAAGGAACTTTTTAATCTCCTCGCTCCAGTTGCCCTGCAGTTGAATGACGGTGCCCGCATCCGGCGTCACAATGACGGTGCCGTTGCAACCCCATCGCCGCTGGAACTCACGGCTGATGCGGCGGAAGTTGAGCGCCTGGTTGAGTCCCTGCACGGACGTAACAAACTTCTTCCCTTTACGCTGCTGCACACGAATGTGCACCTTCTGCGCCTCCAACGCATCCTGCACGGAGCGTTTCTGCTGATCCACAAGGTTAGCGAGCTCGTTGTTTAGCATCACTTGATGTAACTGTGAATGAAAAATTTTTTTATTGACTTCGCCCTGACCCGTTTTTTTTTTCTTCTTTTTTATTTGTTTGCCCCCGCCCACAAAGAGAGAGAGAGAGAGAGAGAGCCTTTATTTTTTTCTTTTCGTTCCTTCCTTCCCCTGCGGATGTTTCCGCGAACACGCCACATTTCAAACAAGACATGTATGCAGGGGAAAGAGCGATAAAAGATTAAAAAAAAAAGAAGGTGAGAAGCTGCAGTGTCCATAACAACAAAAAAAAAAAGAAAAAAGAGGGAAAACACCCTCATCCTTCCGCAACATTTGCCGCGGCCATCCACAGTCACTTGCACACAAACTGGAGAAAAAAGAAATAAACCAAAATAAGCCACCATGGTGGGAAGACACCACATTCGATGCAACGGCGAGGGAGTTATGGGAGCTGACGGGGAGGCATAAAGGAAAGAAAGAAAGGTGCGGGGGACTGCACCACTCTCACCCAGCGATGCCACGCTTTGATTCCATTATTTATTTATTTATTTTTACGTCTGGAACATCCGTGGCAAACAGGTAGAGAAGGATATCACCACCGGCACACCAAACTGCTCAAGTACACTTCGGCTACTTGTGTAGAGGAGACGTTGCGGCACCTCCTCGCCCTCTTCAAACCCCGCTGGCGTGGCCGTGGGCCGTGCACGACCGCCGTGCAGACGCCGACGCTTCGCCACGGAATGTCCCACGTTGTACGCTGACGCACCCCCTGCCGAAGAAATCAACATCGTCCCCACCGAGTCTTGTTCCCCCTTTGCAACACTTGCCGCGGCCGCCGCCGCACGAACCTCACGGGCTCTTTTATGCGCCATTTGCAGCCGCTCCTCAAGCGGTATTGTTGACGGCGGCCGAAGTCGGAGAGCAGCCGTCTTCGGTGCGTCTGCCGCGGCGGCGCCTTTGCGTTGCAACACTTTTCCTCCCATGCGTCGCCGTGCACGCTGTCGCTCCTTCTGCCGCTCCTCCCGCTCTTCTCGCCGCAGCATTGCCTCCGTCGTCACTTCCGTGCCGTCCAATACGCCCTCTACCTCCTCGTCCGAAAAGTCGCTGTCAATCTCATCAATCGCCTCCTCCCCGCTGCTGCTAAAAGTACTGTCGGTCGTTGCGTCACTTAAGTCATTCAGCAGGTTCTCCTCCTCCGAGTTCAGTCCCTTCTCAAGAAGCTCCTGCAGCAAAGTGCCGCGGTTGGCACGCCGCGGCCACCGACCGTCCTCCACGTCCCACTTCCCATCGTCAGCAGTACCAGTGCTCATTGTCTTTCCTCTGCAGCCCGGCTGCCACCACACCGCAATCTATATATCTCTTCTTTGAGCTCACTTGCGATGATGGCAAACACACACACACACACACAGAGATAGAGATAGAGACGTCAAAAAGGGTGTAGCAAATAAGGAGGTAGGAATAGAAAAAAAAAGGAGCGTGCGAGTTCTCAAGACGAAAACAGACAGAGAAAGAAAAAAAAAAAGAAAATCTTGAGAGGTATGCCGGGTGAAATAAAAGACATCACAATACGAAGGACCAATAACGACTTTTCACACACTGGATGTGTGTGGCGGCAATAATTTACGCCCCAGACACAAACAATACTCCTCCTTGCGCTTCATACCCGCTCACACAAACTGCAGGGAGAGTGCGGGGGTCTTCTCCCACGCCCATCGCCCCCTCAAAAAAAAAAAAAAAAAAAAAAAAAATAATAAATAAAAATTAAGATTCAACAGCGCTTTGTAAAGGTAAGTTTGCTGAGATCACCCCAGAAGAATTCCTGTCACCCTAACCCTCTTTTTCACTCTTTCTACATTTCCCCCCCCCCCACCCAAATCCCCGTGCCAAAAATAGAGAGAAAGAAGGGCGGGGTGCCGATCGTATCCCTCAGAGACGGTGACAGACGCATCACCTCTCATTTGTTATTTTTATTATTATTCCTTTTTTTTATTTTCTTCTTCTTCTTCTGACATCCTTTTTTTTTTTCCCCGCTTCTCTTCTCTCGGCGTTGTTCTTCCCTTTTTTCATTTTTTGTTCTCTTTTTAGGGGGGTGGAAAAGAAGAAGAAAAACAGTAGGGCAATTGACGAGTCGCTACCTCCACCCACCTCCGCTGCTGTGGCCTTTGGTTTCTTTTCCCCCCGCCTCTTCCACGCCTACCGGTCCATGGAGCCAAGAATCTGGGCGATGCGCACAAAGATGTTGACCACGTTAAGGAACATCTGTAAAGCATCCTGCACGTGGTCACCAGCACCGCAGCGGGCCCGCTCAATCATGGCCTGCGTATCTACCGACACAAAGAGCGAAAAGAGCGCGAGACCACCGTACAAGATAAGCGAGTGGGCAAAGGCGGTCGGGTAGAAGAGGTTCAGAATTGAAATCGCCACCATGCCCATAAGCATACCGAACAGTGGACCCTGCAGCGCTAGCAGAGAAGCGCGGGGTGCTAAGAGAGCGGCGGCGCTGAAACCAAAAAACACCGCACCTGTGAGGACAATGGCAGTGCCAAGGACACCTTTGGCCATTGTGATCGCCACCAGTGGAGCCAATGCCATACCCTCTAGCACCGTGAAGGAAAAGAAAAGCGCTAACTTCAAGTTTGGGTCTTGCGGTGGGGCAAATGAGAGCCACAGAAGCGGCACAAATCCACCCACCATAGGCAGCCAGAAAGGCATGGCTTTCCCTAGGGGCGTGGAAAACATTAGAAAAGAACCGATACCAGCTACAGCTGTACCAGCGGCAAGAAGTCCATAGACTCTCGAAAGATGCTGTCGGACATATGGCGTGAGACTGTCAGCGGTGCTGCCACCTCCGGTGTTGTCCCCGCCGTAGTTCATTGGAGATGTTACGGGCTTCACCCACTTTACTCCGCGCATATGTCGCAGGGGCTGCAGGGAGAAGCCGCGCCTCGACATGCAAAAAGTCGGTGCAACCATCGTCGTTGTCTCCTTTACAGCAGGGAGGCCACTCCGCCGTGACTGCTGAAAACATCTTCCCGCAATAGAGAGACCCACACCCGTTGCCATGGTGAGACTGCGGGATGTGACGCCGTTGTTGAGCCGACGCAGCATCATTGAGCGTCTTCCTTTTTCTCCCTTTGCTCCCCCTTCCTTGTATGGATGTCTATCGTTATCTCTCTCTCTCTCTCTCGGTTGTGTTTTGCCTAGCACACACAAAGGTTACCCAAAATATATCAACAATAAACACACACACACACAGACGCGCACGTCTTGTTCATTTGTTTGAAGACAATAAACAACAAAAACAACAAGAAAAAAGCAGTAAATTTTCATACTGGACAGAAATGAACAATAAAAAAACAAAACTCAGATTATGCATAACCATGTCAACAAAACAATAGGCATGCGTAGGGAGGAACACCTCGACGCCCATTCAACACCTTACGATGGAAGTATTCACCTTCGTCTTACCCGATGTTATCTTGGTGCTTGCCACCCACTGCGGAAGGGGAACACAGCGAACAACGTTCATGATGATTTTTAGTGATAATGGGCCATTTATTCCTCGTCTCGCTTTTCCGGGGCCAAAACACGGGTGCGGGCAAGACACCGGCGCCATGCCCCTGGGAGCGGCCCTCCGCATGGTTTCCCTCGGGCAGGAAAAAGTCATCACAAGCCGTGCCATCGTCATCAGCAGGATTGCCAAACAAACACACACATGCATGCATAAAGAGGCAAAATCGCACCCTCCCTCGGTTCATTCATGCTGCTGCACTGTTCTCTCTCCTGCCGCCGCACCACACCAAGCCACGGCAGCCATCCCCCGCTTTTTCCTCCTTCTTTTTTTTCGCCCTACTTCCTGCCCTGCCTTGGCTTCTTGTTTCTTGCGGCTGCCGCGGGTCCTTTTCTATCGGCGCCCTTTTTGGCCTTTTTCTTGGCTGCTGCCCCAGGCGCCCTCTTCGTTTCGCGCGGATTTTGTTTTCCCCTCTCTTTACCTTTTCGACGCATCCGCGCTGCCTGCCGTGCCATTGTGCGATCCTCCACCACCGTGTTCACCGACCTCTGCAAATTCTCCAGCCGCTCCGCCCACTTCTTCGCGGAGCTCCGTTTTTTGTTGCGCCGCTTTGCCAGCGCCCTCGCAAGCCGCTTCGGGTCATCCTTCACCTTCACGCCGACCGCGCGTCGCATGGCGGTGTCGAGCAGATCCGCCTGGCGCCTTTCCACGCCCTCCTCTGAGCCCAGCATGGAAGCGTGGGCCTCCGTTTGCCGCTTGGCGTGGCGAAGAAGCGTGGCCAGCTCTCGGACGCCTCCCCCACGTCGTCCCAGGCGTTTCATCTCCTCGAACTCAAAGTTGCCAAATGAGAGATTCAGCGGGATTTCATCAGCACCCGTTCCAGCCCCTCCTGCTGCTGCTGCTGCCGCAGACTTCGTCCTCCTGTTCGCAGATTCAGGATGCCCGCGAAACCCCATACTGCGGAGTCAGAGAGATTGCTAAACACTAAAAAGTCAAGGAACATAATGTATACATTAAGGAAAGAAGGAAAAAAAAAGACATGGTGAGATGCACTTCTTGTAATGCACCATGTAAAAAAATTAATGCGATGTCATGTTGTAAGAAAAGAGGTAGGGGATTTAGTCCTTATGTATGTATTCATGTATTCTTATATGTACATGCAATTGGCGTGCAAAGAGAAGCACACAGTTACTTTCCTCAGATGACCCGAAATATCAGCAAAGATAACTGTATACTACCCACCCCACTTCCCCAAAAGGGGATAAACTGCGATCAAACATCATGGGTTTCACCGTCTCCGCGGTTTCATTGAGGAAACGTTTTGCAAGAAGCGCGTATTCCTCTTCCTTTAGGTGGTGCACCACGACGGAGCGAGAGGTGAGAGGTGCCTTATTGCCTCCCACGTGAATGTCATGGAAGCGGCATTTATTTTCAAAAACAAGGGTGATGTTAGGACGGCGTGTCTCGTAGAGGACCCGACCCAACATCAAATCCTCGTGCTCAGCATTGAAGGAACGGAGCAAATCAAATTCCTCCTTACTGTGGAACTTCTCGAAGGAATCTAAGACACTCCGCAGTGGCGTGAATGAAGTGATGTGCTCCACCACATCTCTCGCCATAGTGATGCACATGCCGCCCACGAAGTAAAGCATTTCCGTGGGATTTCCTTTTTGAGGCATCCATCGCATCACTCTTCCCCAGTACACCCCAAGACGAGGCAATGTGTGTAGATCGGCCAGGAACTGTGACACACGAATAAACACATCATCATCCGCCTTGGCAATGTAGATTGCGTGAGGAAAAAGGCGGAGTGCTGTGGCGTACCACATCATAGATTTGCGGCTTGTGCCTACTTCCGCAGCAAACCCCCAATGCCCACTACCACCAATGCGCTTGTTTGTCGTGGGGCGGCCGTCATTCATGTCGAACATCAACACATCATGTGACCGCGAGGCTTCATCCCGCGCTGCCTGCGAGTACACATAACCGTGTGAGAAATGACGCCCAAGAGCAAATAACACCAACATTTCCCCTGTAAAATTATTCGCACGCGTGGCAACCCCAACGTAGCGCAGCCACGATGAACGCTGCAGGTTACGACGTGTTCTGTGCGGTGGGCTGTCCACAGATGGCACCCCGAGCACAATCGGGAAGCGCCGCTCACGCCAGATTTGCCTGACGCTCTGTGGGATGTGACCGAGAACCACCTGCTCATTGCCCCCTGGCAAGAGGTGACTCACCTCGCCATGGGAAGCGTCAATGTCCAATCGTGTGCGGGAGTTGACTTCTGCATCGCTGATTAGGAGGGCCGCGGCGGCCATCAGCAGCATGCAGAGCATTGAGTACAAAAGGAATGTCCTCGCCCTCATTGCGGCCCGGCGACGCAGCAGAACTGGCAGCATTACTCGCAGCCGTCAACTAGCGGAGAAGAAATAATAATTTTTAAAAAAAGAGGGGTGAACCAAAAAAACAAAAACAAACAAAAACAACACACAGTATATATATATATAAGAACGTCGGTGGGATAAAACCAACAACAACAAAAAGAAAAGAAAGATTTCATTGTGAAGGCAGACGAGAAATAAAGTACGCCACCGGCCCACCCGCCACGGCGAAGTTATTCAAAAAACACAGTCACACACAAACACACGCAGAGAGAGGACGCTGTTTATGCATTGTCCAATTTACCGAGATGTTCACCGAGTTTAATTGCGAGTATCTCGGCTTGTCGCTGCCGCACGGTGCGGGGGAGCGTGTGGCCATGGCGCTTCATCTTGTCCATCCATACCATGAGATCCTGTTCCAGCTCCTTCTGCGGCTGCGGGCTTTGTCCCCGCTCACCCAACTTGCCGTCAGCCACCACCGCGAGCGCCTCAACGTGCACAGACCTTTGGGTGAGCGGGTCGACGAGATAATCCGGTGGGAGCTCACAACCAGTCAACAGCGCAGGACCCTCCTCCGCCGCGACCGCCTCCTCCTTCACGCTCCTCTCCTTAGCAGGCACCCTTTCCGTGTCATGTTCCGTCTTTTTCTCCTGTCGCACCTCTTGCTGGAGCTCGATCGTCTTCATCGTCCGAATTGGCCACACATGTTGCTGCACCACTTCTCCCAACCGCGTCGCCCCATCCACATCCGTCAGGCCGTACAGCACCTCAATGGACGCAGCAGCAAAGTCTCCATCCTTGCCGTCGCTGATGGCATCCGAGTTTTCAGATGAGCCTCCGCTGCCGTGTTCACTCACGCCGTGCATTTTCCCCGCGGCCCCTGCTGGCATGGTGCCAGATGTTCTTGACGTGACGTGAAGCAACATTTCCCCAACACGCGCCACCAGAGCTTCGTTGGACTCGTCACCATCCAAGACGTACCACAGGTACGCTGGTGTTTCCTCCGCCGCCTCACACAATTGACGCATCACATCCCTGTCGGGGTTTTCTTCGTCAAGAAGAAGCCAATCGGAATCGCAGATGCCACAACAGGCAATTTGGGCAGCGTAACACTTATCAAGTGCTGCCCCAATGGAGTTTCGAGTTGATTCGTCAGACATATCCGCCTTCGTCAAGAGAGCAACAACGCCAAATGTGAGTAGCTGCTCAACACTTGGTTCAGGTTCCCGCATAATGGCGCTTCGTGCACCACCAAAGGAGCAAATACTGACAGTGGCGTCAAAGTAACGGTTGTGTACAATTGTGCTTCCCACGGGCGTATCCATAGAGGAAGATGTCATCGATGCAATAGCCGCACCGTTATGGTCACAAGACACCGAGAAACACATGTGGAGGGTCCTGGACAAAAGTCTTTCCTCCTCCACAGTAGACGGACCACATGCCCACAGAAGCACGCGATTCAACTTCTTCCCAGATGTTAACGCTGATGTACTCGATGGTGGTGGTTTTAGTGTCGGGGTGGACGTGCGCTGCGGCCACTCAATTGTGTGGATAATCTCCGCAAGACGGTCAGCCCCAGTAGTGCCAAACCCACGTGCCTCTTCATCGACACGTGCCAACCCGTCATCATCCATGTAAACAACCTCAAACCCCTGCTCCTCGCTGTAGTGCACGTCAAAAGAAGAAATGGATTCTTTCGCCCTTCTTGTGAGGATGACACAGTCTTCTACGCCCCATCGACGAAGTTGATCGATGAGGACGGGCAGCTGCGGAAAAGTCGCCCCATCCACGACCTTCTGTGTGGATTTAGGGGGCCAAGACACAAGGGCTAATTTAGGGCGGCAGTCCACATACTGGGCCAAAAAAAGATCGGCCATAGCGGGACACAACAAGGCAGAGTGCAGACACTGCACCTCCACCCTTGCAGTATAATACTTGTTGGCAATTCCCAGTGCCTTCCTCTCTTCGCCCACTACACTGTTCCAGGAAATGTTCTTTTCCCGCCTCAGAGTTGTTTCTCCCGCCTCCAAGGGCCACTGTGCTGTAAAGAAGCGACGATCCCTACCCATCGTACACAACCAATGGAGGACATCATTCCCATTGTCGTCTATCACAGCCAAAAGATTTGTGGAATCGGCACAACTTCTTTCTGCCTTCTTGTCATCTGCATCACTCTTGACCCCGTTGGGTACACGACAATTCTCCGGCCACATGGTGTTATGAAGAATCTGAAATAGTCTCGCGGAGCCTCGATAATCTCCTCCAAGCAGGCCGCTTCTCTCTACCCCCGCTGGTACCACTTCGTACCCTTCCAAATGCGGCACATACTCAAAGCCATTGGTCACGCAGGCATCGTACCATATTTTTTCTTGTACTTTCATGCCAACACCATTGAAGTTTACCACAACACGGAAAAGACATGAATTTGGAACACGGTGCCAGGGAATTTGATCCGGATGCACAGACCCGTCCACTAGTAATACCCAGCCAGTTTTATTCACCGACTGCGGCCGCAAAAAACTTGACAACAGAGAGACATCCTCCGCGTCTGATGCCTCGGTAGTACTATTCTCGGCAGCCAGAGCATTTCCATCCGTTATCACGATACGAACCTTAGTAGAGAAGTACTTGTTGCTGACAGGGATGCTGGGAAGAGTGGCGTCCCCACCGCTGTACACCTTCGCCGCCACTTCCTCAGGCCACCGAAGGAGTTCTGCCCCGAGCCGAAACGCCTCACTCCCATCGCACTTGCGACATTCCACAAGGAGGAGACAACCGTAGTCTACGGCTGCCGCTGCTGCGGGTGACGATGACACTGATACTGACTTTTGTGTCATCTGTAAAGAATAACTTACACGAGGACGGGACCCTCTGCCAAATGTGGATATAAACCTCCTCCTGCTCAAAGAAGGAAGGAGGAAGAAAAAACAAAAAAACAACAACAACAACAAACAAAAAAATAACTCCGCAGGAGGCGGAGTACTGCCGTTTTCAAAGACGGTGTCTCTCCGTTTCCCTCCTATCACGCTCCCAACCACGCGATTCATAAGAAAAAAAAGGATGTACAATGACACAGCCAACAAGACAGGGGGTTAAACAGTGAGAACACAGCGTAACTCACATTTCCCCAATGTTTTCATCACCATAGAATCAATAAAAAATGTAATACAAAAACCAACAACAAAAGTTAAAAGAGTTGCAACGACTGCAACAAACACGGTGTCAATGGTAAAAATAAACCCATTCTTTACAAATATAATACATACCTTGCTCATAGATTTACTAGCAAGCGACACCCTCACGTAAGAAGCGCAAAAGGCGCTCGTCGTAATGGCGAGTTATTTGATTGGCCTCATCCAATTTCCACTTCGGCTTGTGCGGCAAAATGCGCCAAGTAGAGGTCTTAAACAGTGGCTCCAACACGGGGTTCGTTGGCTGATCTCGAACTATGAGGCATGTTTGATGCACCTGAACCCGCAGCGGTCGCTGCGATAAAGACATCTCAGTCGTGGTTTGACGCGCCTTCTGTGATTCGATCCTCGTCAAAGGCGAAGAATCCGGTCGTCGGGATCCAACAGTGGCAGTCGATATGAGGCGTTGCGTCAACGTCAGCGAAGACATCGTCTCGCTAAAACCTTGCGCACCGGCGCTCTTCAGCAGCTGGGAAGAACCACTGCTGTCTTGCCCTTCCCCGCAATTTTCCGTCAAGGCTGTGGCCGCTGCTGGTGTTTTTGGGGTGCCAAATTTCATCCATGGGCTTCGCATACGCCCAGTTCCTGCATGCTCTTCATAACACACCCTGGCATCCTCCACCTCCTTTCGTCTTTTCAGCACGAATCGATGGTGCCGCGTGAAGTCGTCCAGTTCCGGTTCGGCAGTATTCTTCCCACGCGCCCGTTTGGCGTCCGTGTGGGCATTGCACTCTTTGTCTGAGAAAAAGAAGAAGTACGGCGGCGAGCCTGCCGTCGATGGCCATGCGTTGCCCGGCTCTGGAAGACTACGCACATTGCACTGTGGCGCCGCCGGCGGATATTCCAAGTAAAGCGTGTAGTCAATCGGAGCAACCCGTTTTCCGTACATTCCGTGCCCCACCTCAAACACTCTTTCCCTCCTCTAACAGCTACTTGCGTGCGTATGCAAGTACGCCTACTGAACTCTCCCCCCCCTCCACACACACACACTCTCAAAAGCCCCCGCAGTAAACCTGCTCCTGAACAAAAACAAAAACAAAAGCAAAAGAAACTTCGACAGCAGCATTAAAAAATTATCAGAACGACAAAGAGGACAAACAAACAAAAAAAGGCGAGAGATTTAAATAATGCAAAATCAAGCATGTAACTGCATTCCATATGTCGTGGTCACCGTCCAAAAGATCCTCCACGTTGCAGAGGCACGTCGTTAGTCGCACGGTTTTCAAATCAAAATAACACACAGTCGACAGTTTTTTGCTTCCTTCTAAAGGAAAATAGACAGATACGTCATTCTCGCTTCAACGCCATGCGCATTTTTTTGGCTTTCTCAAGAGCTTCCACGAGTTCACCCCGCTTCTTACCAGCCTGAGCGTAATACGCAGTGATGGTGCCCTGTGCCGCACGCTGCGACTCCACTAGAGACCCAATTTCCGCCTCGATTCGTCGCCGCATCTCCATCGTGTTCACACCGTTCAAACTGTCATCAGTGTCATCGTCACGATTCCAGTACAGAAGTGCCGCACGGAGTTGCTGGAGACGTTGGGTACTCGCGCCGTGCTCTTCTTCGTGCGTCTCGGTGACCCGTGCAGCCTCCGCGTCTAACGCCGTCAAGCGCTCGTGCAGCTGACGAATGACTTCAGCCAGTCGCCCAGCAGCTGACAAACCCCGAGGAGTTGATGCCAACTCCTGGCTGCCACCATTCGTGCTTCCTTTGTCGCTCTTTGCATCGCTTGTTGCCGTGGTCGCTGTTATTCCCGCGGAGCAGTCATTGGGAGGTAAACAGGGATGCAGTTTTTGCTCTTTGTTGCTGGGGACGCCGCCATCAGCAATGCTGTTGAATTTCAGCTCCTGTCGCGACAGTGTTGACGCTGGTGTCGGTGTGGAGACATGCTGAGAACCCAGCAGGGCCTTCATATTCTCCAACTCCCGCCTCAGCACACGCTCCTTCACTCTCAGCTGCTCATTGTCAAGACGCACCGCAAAAATCTTCTTTTCAGCCATTGAGAGGCGTCGCTCCGCTTCGGACACGAGATCTCGCTGTGCAATCTTCTCCTTTTTTGTAGTAGTCCGCAGCAAGTCCAGTTCGCCCTGCAGCTGCTGACACCGCAGCGCAGCCTCTTTTGCCTCGCGCGCCTGTCTCTCGCCGTATTGTTTCAGAGTTTCTAGTTGCGACTCATAAATCTCACTATGAAGAGTAATTTCTTTCTGAAGCCGTTGCTCCGCGGCTTTACGTTCATCGTCAACGGCCATTGTCGCCGTCGTGACGACATCCCGCATCTGCAGCTCCAAGTGCCGAACGTATTCCTCTAATTCCCGCACACGACTCTTCTCCCCATTGTCACTGTGTGCGCAATTCTTTGGCAGTTTCTCGTTTTTTACGTCCAAATGACTATTAGAGGTCGCAGCGCAACCGCAAGTGCTGCCCTCCCCACTGTTACTAGCTGTCTTGCCGGCACTGCGGGTGTCACACGGGAAGTCATGCTGCATTTGGGCGTCTTCATCCATCGCCGAATCCACAAGAGACGACGGCGGCGCATCTTTGAATTCCCCACTCCTGCGAGTCTGCTCCGTATTTCCCCCCACCGTAGCAAGTTGCTGACGGAGCATAAGCAGCTCGCTCTCAAGGGCCAATTTCTCCTCAAATGAAACACTCAGCTGCTCCAATAGCCGTTTCTTCTCCATTTCGAGGGAGACGACGACAGGGCTCTCGGCCGTGCCAACATTTTTCCCCTCCGGACAAGTCGTCGTCAGCCCCATCCCAAACACGCCTCTTTTCGCCATGCCTGCGTCATTGACCGAAGTCTCATCCGCTATTCCGCCGTGACGAAGGGTGGCGTTCTCCTCGCGGAGGCGGTTGCACTCCTGCTGCAGTTCACGAAGTTGAACGCGGAGTTTTTCATCAACCAGACGCCCTCGCAAACTCTCCTTCTCCGTACGCAGGTACTCCACCTCCTGCAGGGCCTGTGAGCACTTCTTCTGCCAGACGGCGATGTCCCTCTCATGGTCGTTTGACATACGCTCCAAAAAGGCAAACTCGTGGGAGCGGCGTCGCTCCAGCGCCCCGAGACGATCAGTCAATAGAGCCATTTGGGACCGCGCCACCCTCAGCTCCTCCCGACACTCTTCGCCTTCTGCCTTCACACGAAGGCACTCATCAGACTTTGCTGTCACCTCTGCAAGCGCATCAGACAACTTCTGCTGCAGTTCGCCTTGAACCCTTTCGGCATCTTCTCTTATAGTCCCTATCCGCTTTTGAAGATCCGCAATAGTTTTGTCCTTTGCGTCAGCCGACTGTTTCGCCTCCTGCAACGATTCCTCAGTCTTCCGCGACTTGGGCTGCGCCGCCGCCTCGGTGAAACGCAAAGGGTCGCACTGTGCCAGTTTTTTTGCCACTTTTTTCGCCGCCAGCAGCATCTCCTTGCACGCCGAGTTGAACAATAAGGCACATTCTTTAAATTCTGCCAGTTTGGTTTCGACGTTGATGTCATCCTTCTTCGTACCCTTCTTGAGGTACTTGTCTACCTTTTCAACGGCGCAACGAATTTTCTGGTCAAACAAATGTGTTGCAGCCTTCAGCTCACTCTGAATGGCGGCAACTGTAATCTCCTCCTGAACCGTATCCATTTGAATGCGTTATATCAGTGTACTTGTGTTTGCCCAGCCGTTGGTGGGCGTTTGGCTACGGCTCCTCGCTTTTACGACCAAAAAAAAAAAAAAAAGAAAGAAAAAAAGAAAGAAAGAGGTTCAAGGAGTGAATGAGTTCACCGTGCAATACTGCGTGTGTGTGTGTTCAACGGGGATAATAATAAAAAACAACACATCTTTCTCTCCTTCCCTCTCCCTCTCTTTCCCTGTCTCCCTGTGTGCGTGTGTGTGAGGGCCTTTTTCTCGGGGCAAATTGCCAAAAAGAAAATGCAAAAAGAAAAAAGGAAAAAAGAACGCACAAGAGGTGTGGAGACAACGACAAAAAGGCCTATTCAGACCTTCGATGTGACGCGACGTGAAGGTGCGCGTGCACATACACAAGTCTACATGCGTGTGCATTAATGTTGTCATCCTTTTTCCCTTCTTCTTATTTTACTATTATGTTTCTTCATTTTCCCCTCCCCACCCTCTTCTCTTATATTCTTCCAGAAACTTTACCACCCTCCACGCCACTCGGGATCATACAAGAGAAGACGCATAGAAAACGGGCGCAGGCGGCAACAACATGGGCGAAGGGACTTTACTGCATCAACACCTCTCTTCCCGCCCCTCTATTGCCACGGGGTTACGAGAAGAAGTACGGCGAGTCAAGCACAACACTCAAGTCAAGATCTCCACGCTTAGGTGGGTCTGGCAGGAGCGTGCCGTGCCTTCTGAGATCCATAAAGTACGCCTCCTCCCACTGCTCCTTTAGCTCCCACAGCGGGTCATACTTGCTGTAGAGCGTCACAAACTGCTGGCGCAAGACTTTGCTTAGCACAGGAAGGTCGCAGGCGTACGTCCAGTAGCTGTCGTGTACGGCCATCATGGAGAGACCAAGATTTTGCATCTCAATCGCCGTCATGGCAAGATGGGTCGCGTCAAGTGAGTGAATCAAGTTTGGGGCAATGGCTGTTAGTTGCTTTCGGCTCGCCGCGGAGAAGGCGTCACCGGGGATACGCGAACAACCATGTGGTGTGAAGAGTGTAATTTCCTTCCGCACTTTGTACGGCTGACGCACAACGAGGCCAAGCGGTGTGGTCCAGCACAGGGCAGTACGCAGCTCCGCTGGTTGAGCTTCCCATATCATGTTTGTCACTTCTGTAATCCAGCGCCGGCAGTTCTGGGTCTCACGAAAGGTGATCCCAAGCGATTCCAGAACCTTCTCTCGTAGGTAGTCTGCCATCTCACGCATATCCGTCGGGGTCCACAGGCCGTGATTTTTGTTCTGTTTCACCAGCTCATCCAGGATCTGCTCCGACATGCCATAGCCCGTGACACCGTAGACCTGAGTCATAATAGGTCGCTTAATTGTCTTGCGTTTGACATGATTACAATCCTGCCCTTTTCCCGTGCCGAGGCACCGCTGTGCCACCGGATTGTCCTTCTCAGCATCGGCCATTATGGATCGCATCATCTCCTTCAGGATGCCGGTGTAGGCATCGGCCGGCCTCTCACTCGGAACCAGGTTGACCAATTGTGCCCCAAAAGCATCGCGACCAATGGCGGAGTAGTGTTGCAGACCGTTATAACTTCCATCCACGGCAACAGGAATACGTGAGAGGTAATTTTCTGCTCCTTGTGAGCATTTAAGAGCATCCGCCAACTCTTTACAGGCCATGAGACACTGCATCGGCTCCGCAGCCTCTTGCCACCACTTGTCGCCATGAAGCGGGGATTCCGCACTTTGAACCACATCTTCAATATGCTCATTCACGTAATGCACCCGCTCATCAAAGGAGAGTTTGCTCATTCCCATCTTATTGGCCAAATGTACCTTCAGCCAATATAGTCCAGTCTCTCCCAATGGCTTGGGTTCCGCGTACTCTAGTAGGGCTCGAAACGGATCGGATCCGGTGTGATTTAACCTCCCTGGCAGCGGATACATACGTCCACGGAAGTCCATACTATTTGGAAAGTAAATATGTGAAAACTGTACAAGTGAGCGGGCCTGACGAAGAGCTTGCAGGTAGTGAATACGATTGCTACGTTGTTCGGAAAGACTTTTCCAATCCTCGTCTTGTTGGGTATCGTATTCCCGCCGTTGCTGTAGATTGTAGACTTCGCAGTCGTCGCCATCATCATAAGAATCAGCAGCAGCAGCAGCATCGGCGTTGCCAGCCACGTCATAAGAAATGTCCCCACGACTCTTTGCGCAGTAGTGTAAAGGGTAGAAGGCTGGCCGGATCTTCCCAAAGCCGTACCCCTCTCTCACGATGGCCTCTTGTACGTGAAGCATGTATTTACTGATACGCCACGGTACACGGGAGATCGCGTCAAGAGCCTTCATCATCGGAGCTTGTGAGATGATCATCGCCTGGTTGGTGGATCCCTTCACCGCCACGGAGGGGAGGACGTTATACACGGACTTTTCCTTCGTGTCCGACTGGTGTAGCCAGGAGTTGTAGGAGAGCTGTGGAGGAAAGGCAACCCGCAAATCACGAATTTGTGTCGCCTCCATTTCAGACATGCCAACAACGGAATATTCCTCTCGGCCAGTGACGCTCACAAAACGTTCTAGTATTGGACGACCACTACCGGCCACATTCCCGCTACTCGCCCCACGCATTGACATGTGCAGCAGTTGAATCACCAAGAAACCCACTGCCTTGGTAGAGATGGGCGTCACCCCATACTCCTGTTCAAAGTACTCACACGTCTTCACCATGTTGATGCTGTACTTGGTGCGGATTGTGGTGCGGTCCCTGCCGCTGAGTTTCTTAAATATTGTGTTAAACCGAAAGTGAAATCGAAGATCTTCTGTGATCTTTACAAGCATGTGAAAAAGGCCACACGTACGGGTGCACCGCGAGGCTGTCGCACACACTTCACGCAGGACAAGCGCAACACGGGCATTATGCAGAACACTCTGCTCTGTGTCATGGAAGGCACCCTGCATCTGGGAGAGCACGGCTGGAAAGAACTCCGCCTTCACCACACCAGAGTCCCCAGGCGATTGCACATACGCAAAGAGTTTCGCCAATGCCTGCGCCGCCTTCTCCTCATCCTTGAAGTGCGCCTCCATCGCTCTCCGCACGGCGGATCGCACGGTCAGTGGAACATCTGTGGGGATAATGATATCGCCGTATATCTTCTGCAGCAAGTAGAAACACACCACACCACTGAGAATGCAGTCAAAGATGTACCTTGGCACATCTTCAAGCATAGGAACATCGGTGCGCACAATGGCATCCCAGTTGTTGAACATGCGCACAAAGTCATGAACCCATGCCGGGGCCCTATCCCCAACCTCGCCTCGTGGCTGCTGCGCCCAGCTGTCTGCAAAAGCCTGGATTGAGCTACGCAGCACTTCGGGTGTCTCTGTACCCCATGCTGTGCGCTTGTCGCCAAAACACCCTGCTCGCCGTTCCACCTCTGCCACAACTTCGTCTAGCAAGGCCATAAGACGCTGCAGCGTGGCGTCACTACTGTCTTCCACTGCCATCTGGACTAACCCAAGCTGCTCCAGGCGCTCAATCACATTTGTACGAGTAAGCAGGTTTGCCGAGGTCGCGTAGCGCACATATGACACGAGGAAGGAGGTAAAGGGGCCCACCACCTCCACTGCGGGAAGCGACTCCACAAGTTGATCGGCTTCCGCCTTGAAATTTCGAAAGACCCCTCCCACCGCTGTCTCTGCAATACGCGGGTAGTCCTGCTGAAAGGGACGGATAAGTTTTCGCAGCACCCGTGCCGACTCGGAGGCATTACGACGCACCATAAGCGTCTTTTGGGTATAACTCATCACCTCAAACTTTAGGTGACCATCACATGCCATTTCAATGTGTGAGGCCTCAAGCGACTTGTTTGTCCACTGGGAACGTACCCCACTCACACGCACCTCCTCATTGAAGACATCACCGAGGACCCGTTTCGTGATGCTAAGGTCCTGGCTCTCGCCATGCGCCTCACGGTTGGCAAGGTCAATGAGATTCATCACAAGCTCCGACTTCGTTGCCCCACCCACTGAGCGTGTCCGCGCAAACGACTTCAATACATCCGTCTTACACGAAAAAAGATCGTCGCATATCATATCAATAGAGGAGAGGACACTTTCATTGGAAGCGCTGCTCGTTGGTGCCATGACGGGAGTCCCGTACTCCTCCTCCACGTCAAGGGTTGGTGTGAATATGTGACTTGTTGTCGTGTCATTATTTTCCAAAGGTATCCCGGCAACACCGCCGCTAAAACCAAAATTATCATGGGTGGTGTTGTCATCACTAGGACGACCCTCGGCTTCATTGGAGTGTGCGTGTTCTTGAGGAAGCGGGGGCGCCACCTCTTCCACCTCCGACATCTGCGACTTCCTCAACGCCCGCACGGATGAAATTTTTGTGCCTGTGGCCGTCTCCTGCATAGGCCGGGCCCAGCGACGAACCGCGCCACCGCTAAGCATAAATGCCCCCCTCAACACTCGCCGCATATCTATCTAATAAGGTTTCTGCACATGATGCAGAATTTCCACAACACACAGAAATAAAAGGAGAAAAACATACAACAACGCTGTCAGTAGAAGCAAACAACAATAACATATTCCAACTCGAAAGTCAAGCGATTGAATGTATTGTACCATTCTTGTATAAAAATTTGTGAGGGGTGAAACAAAATCCTCATAGAAAAAATACCATTAAAACAACACCAACAAAAGAAAAGAAAAGAAAAATAAATAATAATAATAATAATAAATCAAAACAACGGTTTAAAAGTGATAATTTCGGGCAACAAGAAAGACCACACACGCACATAATACATGCATACACAAAGTCCAGGAGTGCATCGGTTATAAATCACCCACCTTCTAATACGTATAGGCATGTACATCGGTAATGTATTTTCCTGTGAAAAATCCCTGTGAAGAAATATTTATCATATATCAATGAGAACGGAGATGCACCACCGGGTTCAGCCATGTGATGGAGAAGGGATCGGGTGACTTCCCACTGAACCGGTCTCCCAGCATTTCCGTAAACCCTTTTACCCACACATTGTTCGAACGATCAATCACACTTAATGAGCACACAGATTCTTTTCTTTCATGTGGCATATTGGGCCCCACGTCCCTATGCCACTCCACCTTCACCAAATCGGAAGACAAATCCCTGTGGGTTTGCTTCCGAGCATTTTCTTCTTCTTCTTCCTTTTCCTCCTCGTCCTGGGAACAAAGCCGAGGCCCAGTCAGAATAAACGGGACCAGTACTGTGAAAAGGGCACAGTTGGAGACGTCCACTGCGCCCTGCACACAAAACAATACGACTGTGAATCGCAGTGAACGGATGTCAACAGTCAACTGGGGGCGACGCCCTGGCTCACGCACGACCGTTTCTGTATGAATTGCACCCGTCGGATCCACACGCCAATGAACCGTGTACGAGGCGCAGGATCCATTCCACTCCACTGTGCAATGGTCCTTATCCATGGATTGAAGCTTTGGGCAGCCCACAACATCGACAAGTATTCTTTGTTCAGATGGCGTGTTCATAGACGTCGTGTTTATTGCCGTGGACATTATCGTATTCGTTGCGGCTTCTGCGGGGCTGCTGGAAAAATCTTCCTGAAGTCGCGGCACATGTCGTACATTGGTTCTCCACTTCACGTCAAGATGTGGTAATGGTGCAGCCATTTCACCTTGCCCAATTGGAAACACGTGAGATGCGGTCTGCGCCTGCGACTCGTCTGTGTGGCTCCACAAATGAAGAGATCTCCCAGACTCCGCAACTGCTGCCACTTGCATGAAAGCGCAGACACAGAAACACGGAGAGGCAGGGTCGCAATCCACCGTCTCCTCTCCAAACCACGCCAAATGAGAGAAAATTGTCCAAAAAACGCATTTTGCAGGGGGAAGTGTCAAGCGAAGCGCCACAGCCTCCGTAACCGCATGACCGCTGCCCGACTCCACCGTCATCGTGCCCTCCCTGTCTCCCCATGCTAACGATGCATTCACGGAAAGCAGCATTTCACTGAGAGTATCATTTGTAAGCTCATGCGGCGTCACAAGACGGATACCTTTGTCTATATCGTCCTCATATTCAGAAAACGTCACAATATATGGGGTGGCGGGGGAGAGGCCCCCAAAATTCACAGAATGGGCCGGAAGACGCAGATTTTGTCCGAATGCCCTCCCATGATGCTCCTCCGCCGCACATCGGACTGTGAAGTAGATGTCGTCGTGTTCTGCTGTGTCCAAATCCCTCCTCCCTGGGAGGGTCCAGGCAAGCGTAACGGACGTTGGTCGCAACGCTGTGACGTGAAGTCCCTGTATACACGCCGGTGGAGCTATAGAAACCGTAAACGGTTCAGAGAGAGCCTGCGGGATAAGAGATATGGGACGGGACAACAGCGCCGCCTCCTCCGTCTTATGGCTCAACAAGAAATTATCATAACAATAATTGTCATTCTCCTGCAACCTCACGCATAATGTCATTCTTCTCTTTCTGGGACAATTGCTCACTAACACCCGTGCCACCACACCGTTCATGCCACTTTCATCCACATGCAGCTCGATCTCTTCCTTCTCCATTGTTTCGCTTATGCTGACGCAAAGAAATACTCGTACCACCTCCTTTACATCCCTAAGAAGGCGAAGAAGTGATGCACAAAGCGTCCTTGAGATATGGACCCCCACTGCCCCCCCAATCACAGCACTCACACTGCAATTGGAGGGGTTTAGAGACGGAGGCCTAGGTAATAAAAAAATGGAGGAAACCTCTGGAATAATAGCAGGACCGTGAAACGAAATACGAACAGGCGTCAGTGGAAGCATGACAACACGTATTTCATTTCTTGCGCCTGGCACAAATAATTCACCGTTTAGTTTTATCTTGAGAGGTGAGTGATGATGCATGGCGGCGCATGTCCAGGCAAGCATTACGCTTTCGTCAGGATTAGTCGAGCAACTCACGTCTGTGACAGCAAACAGGTAGTTGGGAACGCTACGTATGGAGTCTGTCGATCCAGGTCTCCAGTTGGCCACAAGCCCCAAAACAATCGGCTGCCCAACTGGCACATTTGAATAACTCGCGACCGTGGAAGTGCTCGCTCCATCTGAGTTACTCAAAAACACTTTCAGCGGCAGTATCGTGACGGACGTAAACTTCTGATCCACGTCACTCTCTGGAATCTGCACACGAAGAAGAAGAGAGGCCATGTTAGATGTGGCTATCACCGCATCCCGCAAGGGGGGCTCTGGTGGGGTGAAGAACTCTGTGCTCACAGTTTCTGTGCCACTCGCGGTCTTCACTGTCGCCATGTACTTTGTACAGGGTTCCAGGTTATCCAGCGTAAGACACAGCGGGCCCAATCCAGATACCACCCTCTTGAAAACGCACACATCTTCCCCAAGGCTGCTGCAAGATTTGACGTACACATTGAAGGAAATGGAGGCACCTTGCCACTCCATTTCGGCCACTCGGGGACTTCTCGATGCACACCACAATTCGCTCACGACCTCAAAAGGACCCACTTCTTCTCTCTGCGGCGACACCGAGTACGCAGACCATCCCCTCTTCCTGTCGGCTCCTTCTTGCGGACGTATTGGACGAATCTCTACATCAAAAAGAACATCCACAAAAATAGGGCCCGAGCCATGGATGGAAAAAGACGCCAGAACACATTCAACTCCATCATCCTTCTTTTGAGTTCGCACCGACTGTTCTCCATAAGGGGAGGCTGTCGTCGATATGGTTGGCGTAATCCGCAGCTCCAACATTTTTGACGAGGACAGGACCGCCACCCGCGTAAAGATTGGATAGGAGAAGGCCAATGAAAATCCTGTGGCAGATGGTGTGACAGAATCCAGTTTCAGGCTTCCCTTCGTGTGCTCTACACATGTGGCAAAGTACATTTCGACACCCTCTGACCACAAGAATCCCTTTACAATGGACCGATCATCGCCCCTCTCCACCGGTCTCACCTCCAAAACGTAAACAGTGCAAGGCCGTAGTTCTGTGATGACGCATCGTGATGAAAAGTCATGCTCCACAATGACAGGTTCATGGACGTTGGAAGATACAAGCGGCAAGGTGTTAACGTTTCGTAATCCATTCCATGGCAACGGCCAGCAGATGAGCTTCACCGAGCTGGCTGATCCACTCCACTCCACCTCGACACTATTGTGAGTGACGGAAATGATCTTAACACTCCGTACAGTGGCGAATGGTGTGGAAAAGACGATCCCGTCGGCCACAACCACATCATCCTGAGAGACCCAAAAAGATGGCGCGCGACGTAGGGCGAGATGGACGACACAGTATACTTCGCTAAATCCCAGATCCCTAAACTCGTGCGCTATGCTCTTCACAAGATCACCGGACAAATGAGCCGGTATAAGTTGACGCATCTTCATACGCTCTGTAGATAGGTCCACTCTAAAGAGTACTATGTAGCGTGCCTGGGCCTCCACAAGCACAGGGACATGTTTTACCGAGGCAAGACGAACAACGGCGTTGTTGCACCGGAGGGATTCAAGTGCCAATGTTGCGGATGAAGAGAGGGACGAGGCCTCCAGCTCAATGGGTTTAAATGGAAAAGTGCGGGAGAGAATGGCCGCCACACTTGATGCGTACGCCCCATGAACAGGGAAGTTTGTCCATAAGAGATTTACGAAGGGCCGGGGGATGCAATGCAAAAAAAAAGGTACCGCCGGTGGCATTGCCCACCACCCTTCATCTTCTCTCCGCAAGAGTGCATGGCTTAAATCAGGACTCGGCGATGCAATAGAAGAGGGCATCGCATCTTCAAGCCCCCCTGCAGACCTTGTCGTGCACTGTGAGAGTATCCAGCTTGCTAGGAGAAGTCCACACCGTTCACCTTTTCTTGCGAGATGTATATCGCCTATGGAATACGTCACGTACCGAGACTCTGTGTCACATTCAAACAGGTGCCTCGGCCGAATGTCAGAAGCCATCCTTCGTGCCTGCATGTCATCCAACAGAGCCATGGCAAAGCGCAGACGTGCCCACCACACACGTTCAGGTGGTGCGGTTTCCTTGAGACTTCCCAGTGATCTGATTGGCACCACCTCGTATTCCCCCTTGTCAATGGCGTAGGCAAACACCATCATGCGCAATCCCGTGTTCGCCGTATCCAAGTCTTCATATAAATGATGGGAGATGTAAACAGGAAGCTCTGTTTCCTTCTGAATTGGACCCAACAACAGATACCTGCCAGATCTTGTTCTGATTGGCGTATCGCTACGCAGGAGTGCGGTGATTGTTTCTCCAAATATCTTGGAGGTTCTTAACAACTCTGCGGGGCGTCCGCTACTGTGATTAGCCACAAGGAAAAGGGCAGAATTCATGTGGGAGATGTCACGGATGGTCTGCAGCGTCGTTCGGATCAAATTTTTACACGCCTCCTCAGTGGGCATGTTGGACTGAAAGTCCGCCACATCCCCGGCGGAGCAGAGAATTCGTCCTTGTGTTAGTAAGCAGAGTTCCAACAGCGCACAAGAATTTTTCACCCGCTCTGGCGTGACCACCGAAAACACGGGAACGCGGTAGAAGGCCGATCGGTGCCGAATGGATGATATGGACAGTTCGTCTACGCTGCCACAGTTGGAGGGGGCAAAAAAAAGAATGACAATACGAATATCCACAGCAGGTCCTCCACGCACCAAACGACAGTGGCGCTCATGACGCCAGTGCCGTAGCACTGCTCTTGCCTGTGCCCACATCTCCAGCATGGCCACCCGCAGTGGAAGACGGTGCTTTTTATTATGCTCTCTTGTGGATTCCTTGTTTGCCTCCCATTGACAAATGGCCTCTTTTGCATGACTTGGCTGAACAACAACGACCCCTGCCAGGGACACAAATACAACATCGTCCAAGGTGAGTTGCTCCAGCAGCCATTGGACCTCATCCATAGAGCGACGGGTTCTACCGCTACCGCATGCATGAAGAACCAACAACCAAAGCGGTGACTTTTTCTGTAGCTGCTGTTTTGGCAACAGATCCCTACGGACATCGGCACCATAATCATCTTGGGGTAAAGTCACGCCATTTATGCGAAACCCCAACTCCAGCATGCCGTATTTTGGAAAGAAATGACACACCCTTTCAAGGTGCGCTTTGCAGCGTACTTGCAGGGTGCCAGACACTGCTGAAGAGGGATCCGTGAAGGATGTTTGTGAGTCCTTGTCTGTCCAGGCCGCCATACGCTGAAGCAGCAACGCAACAAGGTTTTCATTTCCAATCCAGTGACATTCCGCAACAAGATGACATAAGGCCTCCAGCTTGATCCGGAACCCCGTACGAAGAAACAGATGCACCACAAGCTGCTGGGGGTTATGGAGATTGTACGACAACTCCCGCAATTCACGGATCCAGTAGTCGTTGACTTCGCACACAAGAGGGGCAAACATGACATGACGTTGAAACCGAAAGAGATTTAAACAACAAAATTGCGGAGGAAGTTGTTCCAACCATCCCTCACTTGGCGCCCCCACATAAGTTGGCCCTGAAGCCGGTGTAGCTTCATCTGTGTAGGTTACCAACATAAACTTGGAGAACGGATATGTCTTCATCAAGTCACTCACGAAGAACGCTTCATCGTATGTATGCTCCAAAACAACTGCAGGTGAGGCAGGTGGTTTTCCAAATGTGGCAACAACCAACGCCGGGGAATCTGACACGGTGGGGTCAATAATGATGCCACCTTCATTGGATCCCGCATAGAGAGTGTACAGGCAATCCATGATGCCGCTGGTGGAGACGTCATCTCCCAAATCGGCCATGGCCTTCTTCGCCCTTCAAGAGGCCTGAAGAGCACCACCACCTACACGGGAAGGGAGGCCGTGATGTTCTGAAGAAAAACACCAACAAAAAACAAATAAAAAAAGAGCACAACGCCCACCAAAAAGGTGTGTGTGTGTGCACGCCCAATCTCAACCCTCCGTTATGTAGGAACTGTGTCCGCGTGGAGGGTTGGACTGGGTGGCGGCAGTCGTATGCGCCCCTTTGTTGTTTTTTTCTTCCCTTTTCCCGCTTTTCGCAAAAGGGAAACGCAATCATTCATAGAGAGAAAGAAAAAAAAATAAAAATAAAGGGACAAAAGAGAGAAAGAAGGAGTGCATAGGCGGCACACTGCAGAAGTACCATGTGTGCAGGGAAGGAGGCAACAGCAACAACAACAAAAAAGACCTGAAGTGCATAAATCGCCACAAAAAACCAGCATCAAAAACCCCCCAGCTGAGTAGAGGCAGGAGGGATGCATGTTTAATTATTGCCGGGGCGGTGGACGCGTCAAGAGTGAAGTGAGTTGCGTGTACCGTATCTTGCCGTCCTTGTCCGGCTGGGCCCCATCAAGCAACATGCGGGCTTTCTTCTCCCCCAGTACCCGAGTTGCTGTGGCCTGCAGTTCAGCCAAATCCACTTTGCCCGTTCCCGCCTTGTCAAACTCCACACACAACTGCGAGAGCAACGCAAACAGCCTTGCCTTCATCGCAATGCTGGTGGCGTTCGCCTCCAATTCTAAAAAGGCAGGATTGTTTCGGAGCGACGGAAACACGGCGCGTACATCGTCCAGGTACACAAGCACCACCTCCTCGCTCTCAACCCCGTCCGGGACTTCCGCCCGCCCGAGCAGCGCGTGCACAAAGCGAAAAAGGGCCTCGCGTCGTGAAGCGTCATCGGGGTCCACCACAATTAGATCCTCGCCCTCAAACATGCGAAAGAGAAGTTCGGGTAGAAACGCCTCAAGGATGACCATGAGGCAGCGATTTATCTGACGATTGGTTGTGGCTATCGGTAAACAGAGAGCAGAATAGACGAGATCAAACTGCTCGGATGGGGTCTTGCGAAAGTCATGTAGGGTCGACTCCACCACCGCGGCTATGACGTCAATGGCATCGGCATCGATGCTCGTGCAGCCATCACGGCTGTCCATCATCTTTGCCCTTGATGCGTCACTCCCATTTCCACACAGCGCCAAGAGGTCTAGACATGCATCCAGAAGCCGCTCATTATGTAATGACGCATCTCGGTGTGCCTTCTCCACAATGCGTTGATGCTGGAAGGTGTTGTTGCTTGGCGGTGCAGCCGCCTCGTTCACTCCGCACTGAGTCGCAAATGGATTCCAAAAATATCGTCTGCTGCAATGACAAGAGCTATAGCTGCAGTAACAAGAACAACCGCGGTTCGTGCTGCGTGGCAAAAGCCACCCCATGCGAAGTAACAACAGGCCACGCGGAGGCACGCTGGCTCCCCGCCAAGAAAAACTAAGCAGCGAAAAGGACATCTCTCACCCCCTTTTTTCCCCCTTCCTTTTCTTTATTCCTTCCCCCACTTCTCTTATTTACTGGAAGAGTACTTTTTCCTCCCCAGCTGTATACAATATATCCATGGTTGTGGGCGTGCATTGAAAAAGAAGGGGAAAAAAAGCTCCAATAAAAACACGCACACGAACAAGAGAAGAAAAACAACACCGACGATTACTTCAACAAAAAATCGGCCCGCATGGAACCAAATGCACATGGAGCAGCGGTCATGCCAACCGTGACTCATTTCTTCCCCATTCCGCTTCCATCATCCATCATCCAATTGCCATCGCTCTGACTCCAGCCCGAAACATCTATTTCAAAAAGAGCAATGCCCACGCTACGGTAAAAGTTTGTTCACGAGATGTTCGATAGCTCGCTAAGAATACTATCAATGACTCCGCGGCGGTCGTGTAGACGTCGTCTCCGCTGACGCCATGCAGCAGACGCAGCATGGGGCAACAAAGCATCAGCCTGCGTGTTTTTCATGGTCATTTTGTCTACTCTCTCTTCCTTGTTTTCTGCTTCGCATTTTTTTCTGGATGACACGCGCCGCTCAATGGGATCGGACGTCATGGAACACGCAGCACTTGTTATCGCAGCCATTTCGCAGGTAACACGACCTGGTGGTGTGCCGGAAAGCACCAATGGCTCTTTGACCCAACAATATGAGGGATACTTCGCCGTTGATGTGGCAGGGGTTTGCAGCATCTTATCCGACAACGTCTCCACCTCATCCAGCAGTGCCCACAGGTCGGCAGCGTCGATCACACGGTTCAATATGAACTGTAGAAGCAGCTCTCCAAGCTGTTGTTTGTCTTTCTTCTCCGCCAGACGTTGTAGACGCGCCTTTAGAATGGAAGCACTCACTGTCGTGTGTTGGATCTGCTGAAGATACGCCTCAATAATCGCCTCGCGGTCCTCATTCCCAGTCGGACCATCGTTGATGACTGTTGAAGTCCTTCGTGACTGCTGTTCTTGGCGGGGATTCTCCTCCACGCCACGCTCCTTGCCTTCTTTTCTGGCTTTGCTTTCAATGCTGGCGACACCAGCCAAAGCAGAAACAGGAAAAAGAGAAGAAGGGGAAGAAGGCACGGCGTCCTCCGCATGCGACACCACATCCGGCATTGACGCTGCACACCCCACCTGCTGCTGCTGCTGCTCCGTCTGTGTGCATTTTATGGCGTTCAAGTAGCCGCAAGAGGCTTTCGCCCGTTGCGGCGTTGCGGAGCCGGGAAAAGAAGGCGCGGCGCTCGTCCTCTGCAGGGCGACAAACCAGACATCCAGCATTTGCTTGGCATCCACAAACATAGTGAGGCTCGGAAACTCCACCACGCCGAGCTCCGACGACGTCTGCGACGTCACTGGTGTTATCACGATGGAGTTATGGCCACTCACAAATTTCTTTTGCACATCCGCGCGGTGCAGCAAAATCGCCTCATAACACTTTTCCGTAGAGCCATCACCATCGAAGATGTACAACAGGGCCCCTGCCATCACAAAGTGCCGCCGCACCCATCGCCGCAACACACTACCACAGTTTGACAGTTGGTAACCCGCACCCTCATGCACCACGGCGTTTCCCCAGCGTCGTAAGAAACTGGAGAGAGATAAATTGCCCAGCCACGACTCTTCCCATCGCTGATTTTGCGAAGAAGAGGAAAACTCAACGCTGCTCTCCACTTCCCGCTTGATAGAGTCTAGTGCCAGGGCCGTGTCGGCGATTGGCGTCTTCCCTTCCATACTTGACTGTCTGCGCATGAAATCTGAATCCGACGATAATTCTTCTGGCGGTCTGCGACGCAGACTTCCAGTTTCATCCTTTTTACGACCGGCGAGTGTCCCAAATGGCGTAAAAACACGTTCCGCGTCATCCGACTGCTGCACCGGATCCGGGTGCATCACAGCGGTGGGAGAGCACCCCTCTGGTACTGGTAAATAATAATGAAACCCATTGACGCAGAAGAAAGAGAAAGAGAGAAAGGAGAGAAAAGACGTGGGAAGCAGCTGCCACAAATTCATCCTTTAAAAAAAAATACGACAAAAACATAAAATTATGGCACAATGATATCACGCCCTAACATATATATATATAGCTGGGAGACCAGAGGAAGTATATAAGTACATGACACACTGGGCCTATTTGAAGCCATCTGCTTTCACTAGGCTGGCTTTGATAGACCCGTTGCCACCGCCATCCAATGGTCCCGCTCCTTTCTCATTGTGTGCAGTTCACGACGCAGTTTGTTCATGTCCTCATCTATACGCGCCGTTTCATCGCGTAGCGCTTCCTCTATGATGTGTTCATCGTTGCAGGCCACCCAGTCAGGAAGCACAAATGCCGATACAGGAGCAGATGTGTTAGGGGACACTTGTGTTGATTCCTGCAAGGATGCGATGTCAATCTTCAGTCCCTCATATCTTTTCTTCAACTCTACCAAGGCCGACTCATGCTCGACCGCCAGCCGCCGCCAATGTTCCAGCTCCATGCGAGCCGCACGCAACGAAGAGACTTTGCGCTCACCAACACCTTGTGTAGGTCCATTGTATGCCGCCTGCTGCCGTCGCGCGTTGTCAAGCTCCAACTTTGTAGCCGCAAGCTCCATCCGCGTTTGCTCCAACTCTTCTTCGCACTTTTTAAGACAATTACACAAGCGAGAGAATTCTGCCCGCAGCTTATCAGTGGCATCTGAACCATCCGCTGTCATTATGGCATGCCATTGTACATCCTGCAAACGGCTGCGAATGGCAGACTTACAGTGGGCTTTTCCTGCTTCCTTGTTGACCCTCTTCGTGCTCTCTGCACTGACAGCCCCGCATTGCTCGGGGCTCACCAGTTCTAGGGAGACTTCATCCAAGCGGTGTGAAGGCGTCCTGTAGGCGTCGTGAACATCCTTAAGCTTCACCTGCAAAGGCTCACTCGGTGCAATTGATGTGGCAGACTGTACCGGCACACCGTGGAGACATGCTCCACCTTGTTCCATCCGTGCATTCAGTCCCTCCTCCTCCACGGTGGCTCGTGCGACAGGCTCCATCGCAAGGTCACCGCCTGCTTCCAACAAAGTCACATCATCGGTTGCGTTGACTAATGACGGTGTCTTCTTCGCCTTTTGCGGTTCCGTTTCCAACGTCTTCAGCCGTTCCTGAAGATCCGCGTTCAGTTTCATGAGCGCCGCATAACTGATAAATTCATACGGCGGAGGCGCATCGGAGAGTCCACGCTCCACCGCACGTAGTCTCCCTTCCAACATTTCAACCTCCTCTCGCAGCCTATCTTCATTCTCCTTTGAATCCCTCAGTCGACGCTGAAGCGATGACATCTCCTCCTCACGGCGGTCGTACGCTTCCTTCGTGAAGCGCATCTCATGCAAAAGCTCCTTTTCACGTGAGGACTGGGCAATATTCTCCTCTCGCAGCTCACACACACGTTGCTGCAGGGCGTCATTCTCGTTGCGAGCAGCCTGCAGTTGCGCCTCCATAAATCCCGCAGTCGCGATTTGCTTCTGCATCCGTGCCACCTCCCGCTTGTATGCCTCTGCTTCTGCCTTTGTGCTGCACAACTCGGTCTCCAGCATGCGAAGATCGGCCTCATGACTTCGGCGCCACAAACGCTCCGACTCAGCTCGGGTCTCCTCTTCTCTATCCAGACACTGTCGGAGGTGCATCAGCTCGCCGCGTAAGCCTTCCTCCTGCTGCGACGGACGTTTCCCTGCGCTGCTACAATGTGGCACACACAAACCCATCACCTCTATTCGTTGAAGCTGCTGCTGAATTCCTTCAATCACATCATCTGCCGCTCGGTGATGCAGGCGGTACTCTTCAAGCTTCTCCCGAAGCGCTAGAACGTCGGAACTGCTCGTGCCATCGCTATTATCATTACCACTTTTTCCAATACCGCTTTTCACTTCTGACATTTGGGCGCCAGCACAGCGCTTCTCAAGTTCCTCAATAGTTTTGTCCTTGACACCCAATTCGGCAGATAACTTCTCACAGCGCGCATGCATCTCAGCCACTTCTGCCGTTAGTTTATTTATTTTATCCTCGGCCTCCTTCTTCGCTTGACGGAGTGCACTCAGCTCCATGCGAAGATCGCTGATAATCGTGTCACGGGACGCGATGTTCTGACGAAGCTGTAGCAACAGCCTTGCTTCCGCTCCGCGTCCACCACCAACACCATCCGCGGCTGTGGCCGCAAAAAGCGCCAACGAGGGTGACACCGTTGCGGGACCGGCACCCTCAACGGCGTCCGTCTCGGCACCCGATTCATTTGCCTGATGGTGCGCCTTCCGAAGCACAGCAATGAGTGACTTCAGCCGCTCAATCTCCCTCGTTTTTTCCCCCAATTCTCTACGCAAACGTTTGACTTCCTCACCTCGGAGTCGAAGGGTTTTTTGTGCGTGGACGTGGCTCATGCGGAGGTGATGCAGTTCCTCATGCAGCGTCACAAACTTGCGCTTCTGCAAAGCATGGTAAAGCTCAAGCTGCTGCTCGGGCTTTTCCAAGTAAGGCCTAGGGGGCGACAACAGTAGCTCATTCTGTCGCGCGTTGTGGGCCACTCCCACTGGGCTTCTGCTGTTACCGCCAGGAATTCTTCTTTCATGTTTACTTCTCCTTGTCGGCGAGGAAACCAACGCGGGCAGTTCCCATCGTTGTAACGTCAGCATCCGCTTCGCCAACCTCTCCCCGCGTGGAAGAGGATCCTGCTGCTGCCCCAATGGGGGATCTATCCTGTTGGGGTCGCGCCGACGCACCGTCTCAGCGGCTGTGTTTGGACCTTCCTCCCCTCTCGCCGTCTGCGCGTCCTCTTCTTTCTCCTCCTCCGCTTCCACGTCAACGACCGTCACCGCAGCCCCACTTGGGCCAGGCACGGGCGCACCATCGCCGTGGGCCGGTAAGACGACTTGCTTCGTCATGCTTTAATAAACCCACCTGCACCGCAGGAAGAGAGAAAAAGACTGATAGAAAACTAATCGCCTTGATGACTCTTCGTCACACGGACCATCTGTGGCAGAAAGAGAAAAATAGGGAAAGAGAAAAAAAGAGAGAGGGAGAAAAACAGATGGATAAGAAAAACAAAACAAGAAGATCATCCAGGAAAATATTGTTTTTTTACGTACACACATACATACACGCACAACAAGAAGAAGGGGAAAAAAAGATGGAAGCGCGGTCTTTTTATTCCTTTTATTTATTATTATTATTTTTTTTTTGTCTTACAAGTGCTTGTTACCGTACTGAATTTTTGCTCCTCTACGTTTCGTTCCATTGAAATCAATCATCAAAAAAAAAAAAAAAAGAACGGATTTCTCTCCACATAAATCGCCCTGCCTATTTTCATTTCTACCTGTAAATAGGAGGAAGAGCGAGAAAAAAAAAAAAAAGAAAAAAAAGAGAGAGAGAGAGACTGGAGGGGGAGAGAAACAAAAGCTGATATGAGCAGCACTCGTCAATGCAATCATACAACGGGGCGATGGTTGCGGATGCACACGCAGACTCAACCCGGAGTTGGAAGGGGATTGCGGTAACGGGCCTCAAACCACCAGCATGCAAGAAAACTACACACACACACACAGAGAGAGAGAGAGAGAGAAAAAAAAAAGCAAACGAGAGCGAATAATGAAGAGCAAAAGCAAAAAAGGTGCCAACAAGCAAACACCATATCCGCCGCATCTTATTTTTAATCAAAAAAAAAATCATTGCTGGTCACCCATTCACTTCATTGAAGCGTGCCGCTAACACTGCGACCATCATCACCTCCTCTTGCTGCACCACCCTCTTCTGCCATCCCTCCATTTAACCTCGTTTCGCCAAGAGCATTGGGGTCTACTCCCACGGCCCTTAGTAAAGTTTGCTTATCTATCCCTTCCATCTCCGCGCGTTTGCAGAAGTTCGCTACGTCCATACCAAACTGCAAGATGTAATTCCAGAGCACACTCTCATCCAACATGGAATCCTCGCCATATCCTTCTAGCATTGCGGAGACATCTTCCTTCAATCGCTGATGACGAAGGGCAAGCTCCGAGACGACAGCGAGATGCTTCTGAATATGCAGCGCCATTCGATTTGGAAAAAGGTCCACCAGACCCGCTGGAAACTTCGCCGCACGCTTCTCTTTCATCTCTGGCCGCTTGGACTCCTCGACTGCGCTCCGCATCTTCTGTAGCGTGAAGCTCAGCTGCGACACACTCCGGCCCACTTCCTGAACCGTTGTGCCAGCAAGAGAATCAAGGCAATCCAACTCCTCTATAAACTGCAGGAGATCCGGTCGTCGGTCCTTTAACGACACAACAAAAACCTCCAACATGGTCGTCTTCCCATCCACGGCCTTTACAAAGTTCATTTGATTCAAGCTCTCCAGACGGAATCCGACTGCGTCTGCATGGGCGCCGCCACGATTCATAAAATTGCCAAGGGCCAAAACAGCGTGAAGCACAGCAGCAAGCTTTGAGGACTTACTCGTCAGCAAATTCACAGCCTTCTCTATCATGTCAATTCGTTCCTCTGTGAAGGAAACAAGTTCCTCCGTCTGTTCAGAAGCTAATAGAAGCGAAATACGTTCACGCGCGTCAGTCACGGTGACACACACCTTGTAAACATATTCCTCAACATCTGTCCAGGATACATTCCCTGACACCTTCTCCATCCGGAGTCTCTCCATCTCCTCCACCGTCGGAAGGACCCCCAAGAGCAACTCCAGCTTTTCAAACGGAAGCGCCACCTCATCGCACTCAATAAGGGCTCTACACATCTCATCCACCGGTAATTTCAGCTGCTTGAGTGCGATGGCAATGTTCTGTTTCCTCTGAAAACTAAAAGCACTGCTTTTGCAAAGACCCTTTCTCTTGGGCTCCTTTGACTCGCCGCTGGAAGTTGACAAGGGTGATGCTTTCTTACGGATCTCAAACATCGCCAGCAAAAAGGGCTCATCAACAATCGTCTCTGCCGAAAAGTCGTTAGAAAAACACCATATCCCAGATAACCGCGGCATTTTTTTCCAAAAAAATGTTTTTAGCTTAGGTCCAATATAGACGGGTTTAGAAGATGCAATGTTCACTTCTCCAGGCAAGGAAACTAAGGATGCACCACTGCCAATTATCTTAGGCGGTGGCGGTGGAGGTGGAGGTGCCTTCTTCCCATGTGGAGGCGGTGGAGGCGGTGGAGGCGGTGGTGGAGGCGCATTCTTCCCAGGTGGAGGTGGTGGTGGCGGTGGTGGCGTACGCGGAGGAGGCGATGACGACGGCGAAACAGGCTGGTTTGTGGGAATAGACGAGGGGTCGTAGTGATGCGCCGGCTGCGGGACGCTAAGTGAGAGCGCCAGCTCATCATCGTCTTGGCAGCAGCGCTCACCTTCCTCCAGAAGACTGAGGGGCAACAATGCACGCAGGAATGAGCGTTCAGTGCATTCTCCGCGACCGCGGGAGCCATAACGGTTCATCCCGTCGGCACGGTAGTACACACCGCCCGCAACTTCGTTGTCCCCACGACAACTGGAGGCGTCGTGGCGGCGGTCCGGCGGCGACACGGGCCCAGGCCGCATCAGCGTCATTTGCCGCCTAGGGGCCTGATCGATGCGTCGCGTTAGCTGTTCAACGTACGTGGTGTCCGCTGCCTCCGATTCTTCCCCAACAAAGTGCAGCCGCATGTAGGAGTCACGCGGCAATTGGCTCTGCATGGCAAAGTCCATGTCCCGTGCGCGGACGTGGTGGATCTCCTCCGAGACAAATATGGTGCTGAACGCCCACCGGGCAAGCACGCATACTTTCCACGGAGACTCCAGATGCCCTGAGGTTGTGGGCGATGGTGGCTCGTAGTGCAGCAACGATATGGCAAAGTCCCCAAACAGGCACGGCTTCGGATTGAGGGATAGCTGCAGGGTGGCGTTGTCCCTCTTCTCTTCCCACGCGGTGGGATCACTGAAGAGAAATACATTGCCCTCATTCTCTATGCGCAGGCCAATCTTCATACCATTCAAAGGGAGCATTTCCTGCAGCGACACAAATGTCAGCCGCATTCGGCGTAGGTGGGCACTGGGCAAAATAGGCACATCAAGAAGAAGCTGAAAGTAGTTCACGTAAATTTCTTGCGATGCTGCGTGGTATCTGCTGCGGCGGATGCCAAGCATTTCCTCCACGAACCCCAGAGTGTAGCTCCCGCCGTCTGATGGACAGCCAGCGAATATGTGGTAGCACGTCGCGATCATGGCGGCGTAGTTTGGGTATGTGATGCCGGAGCTTTCCTCCAGAAAGGCCAACACCACAACGTGGTCCTGCTCAATGTTGGCCTGCGTCCACTTCTGGATGGTAAGGCAAAGCTCTATCAGAAGCCCAAAGTCCTCCACTGGCTGCTTGGAGTAATCCATCAGCTCACCGTGGGGGCAGTTGTCTTCCAGGTCCATCATCAGAGGCGAGAAGTTGAAAATGGTGTAATGGCCCTTGTAGATCTTTTCTAGCCTGTTGCAGTTGGCACGAATATTCTTCGCCGTGCTGTTACTGAGAACAAGGCACCCCTTCTTATCCATCGAGCTGTTGCCACACGGAATCTGCCAGATAAACACAGGGTAGTCAAACAGCTGCCTCAAACTGTCCCCATGCGAGAGTCTGAAGAAGCTCCCTAAAAAGTCCATATTTCCCTCGCCTTGAAGAAAATGATGCTGACGTGCTATTGTAGATGGATGCGCGGTGATATAGGGGAACAACAGCGCAATGGAGTGGCACTCACTTTCGTTGCTGTTATCGGGGCGCTGGTGACGCGTTGTCCACACCAACACTGCTTGCCTATCCTTATCTACCACACCAACACGCACACGCTTACAGTCGCGGAAGAAAAAAAGAAAAAAGTCAAAAGCAACAATAACAAAAACGAAAAAGAAAGAGAGGGATGAGGCAAACACTGCGTGGTGTTGCACGAAGCAAACAACAACAACAGCAAAAAACAGCTGACAATGAAAGGCCGCGCAAAAGCCTCGCCACACGCTCAGGGAAATCAAAAGTGTGAAAAGGAATTCATTTAGATGTTATGCCGTCGTTTCGAGGGAAGCATCGTCCCCTTCGGCTGTGCAGTGACCGACGGCAACTGCCGCGGCTTTCCTAACTGCGTGGACCTGCCCACACTGGCAGTGTTTCCGACGCCTGCGGGGAGCGTTGCGTGTGGCCCGCAAGATGTGGGGGGTGCATTTGATGCTTTCTTTGTGTCTCTCGTCAGACTTTTGGTGCAAAACACCCCACGTGATGCCTCGATAAGCCAGTCACGCTCTACTGCCGTCACCACCACCAGGTACTCGCGCGTCGTGAGAAGAAGATCGTGGTAAACAACATAAAGTGGCATCTCCGACCGTACATACACCGCCGAGGACGGATGAACGTAACATACAACACCAGAGTTAAGCAGAGGGCGGTATTCGCTCCAGTTGCTGCTGGAACGCTGCGCGGACTGCAAGCAAAATCCACTCGTTACACACTGCCGTACACGGTCCATTCCCTTGGGGCCACACGATAAGGTAGGAAGCCCCAGCAGCCGCATCCGCTCTAGCAACTGTTGCTGCACCTCACAGGCACGCAGAAGGGTAGGAACGTGAAGGAAATGATCCTTCGCCCACTGTCGCGACTTACCATTCTCAAGAAAGTGCGTCATAACGTTGAGTAGCGTTAGATGATCAGATTCATTGACGTAGAAACGGACCGTGGTGCTGCCGCGCC